AACGCAGTCATAATGATCTGGATTCTAAGGTCACTTCTGGTCAATTTATACACACAAGAGGACAAGTCACAAGAGGACAATTGGCCAATTATTAAACTATCAAGGCCAGTCAACTTAAATATAGTGATTAAATGTATACAGAATACTACCAGTCAATTGTGTGGAATTAGGATTTTTTTCCTGAAATATTATTTATTAAATTGATCAAAAGTAAATACATTTATGTTACAAAACATTTCTATTTCAAATAAATACTGTTATTTGAACTTTCTATTAATCAAACAGTCCTTTAAAAATGTATCACACTATCCACAAAAATAGTGTAGTATTTTTGCCTTGCAGTATTACTGTATTTTAATTTGTACAAATCGATTAAAATAACATACAAGCAAAGTGTGTCAATCAAATATCTTCTTGAATTTGTACACCAGAAAGCAGCTTTGGCATCACAGGAATAAGGTACATTTTAAAATATATTAATACAAGAAAATAGTTATTTTTTTAACTTTAGTAATATTTCACAATGGTACTGTTTTAATTAAATTAAATGTAGTCTTGAAGCAAATAAAAAACACATTTAGGACATATTCTTGCATTCAAATGCAGCTAGATGGAGGAAATTATTATAATTTAGAGCATGTAGCTGTTGAAATGAGACAGGTCTTATTCCAAGACAAACTCTTTTACAGCATGAAGTGTTGTTGGAGAGCATGGATTTATCAGCTCACAGACTGTCTGTGAAGACTTCTGTTGAAGATGAGTCAGAGCGCGCTGATAGCGCTCTCAGCCGGTAAGATCACAGCTACAGCTATTTTTGAACTCAACAATTACCATCAGTTGTCTAATGGTCAGATATGGTCTGTCAGTCTGTAAAACTCCCCAATTTGACTCTTTTGCCAATGCAGTGGTCAGTCCATTTGTGATGACACATCCTCAGAATTACAGCGAGTGGCCACCCTCGAACCGCGTGGACTGAACTCACAGAACTCCTTCCATGGCAGAGGGGCGCTGTCAAGGTGAGCGGCATGGACAGACAGGTTCTTTAGCTCATTTGGATTTATTCAAGTATGGCCTACTTTGGAATTTGAATAAAACATTAGTGAATTTTACAATTGAAAAACACAATCTTTGTAGTGTTGTACTTTAAGTGCACAGAACATACCATATAAAGTCAATATCTTTTTATACTGTATATAATTTTTATCATAGTATATGTCATTTAAAATCACCCTATCTGTATTTTAAATGGATGTGATATAGCTTATTGTGAAAAAATTATTAGTGCATGTTTCATTTTTTGAACATTTGAAAGTGTTTTGACCTCATAATCTTTGACCCGAGTCTTCTCCCATTTTGCTTGATTCCCACGTCTGCTACCTGCGCACATATCAACAGCGCAACTGGGTTTTAGGTTGCCAGGTTGAGGTCACAAATGGGTTGACATTTTTATGATGTATCGATTGTGTGAGTAGGATGCATTTCACACAAGCTCTGGCAACTGGACAACCTTGGGATAATATATTGATGTGATCATTCATATAACGAAGTTTGGGCCACGCAAATTATGGGAGTTTCGAGAGAGAAATAACAAAATGGGAGGAGTGTGGGAGATGGGTGTGAAATACGGGAGACTCCCGGGAAAAACGGGAGTGTTGACAGGTATGGATTCAAACTCGGGACGCCCGTAGCACAACAGCACTGTATGTCGGCATGCTGCCCACAAGGCTATCGGTGCCGAATACTGCATTTTAAAACACAAAAATGTGTTCTGTGTAAAGAGCACCTTTGGTGTATATAACACAATACTTATCCATAGAGCATGATAATGCTATTGGCACTTTGTAGACTGGATGTACAGTATGTGTAAATCATTAGAGAATGAATGTGGGTATAGTTGGTTTCAATCAATTCCTCTTTCAAGTATTTTTGATGGTGTTTCATTATTAATTATATCCCAAACACAGGGCCTGCTTTGATGATCTTCAAACTAGGAACTTCTTTATGTGACTGGTTTTGGATTATCTCTCTGATGTCATTTATATACTGGACACCTGTGTGAGACTGAGAACAGGTCAGAATCTTAAAGTGTCTATCATGTTTTTGGAAGAGTTGCTGTGACGCTTTGCTCTAACAGTTCAATAGGCGTTTTTGGTACAGTGAATATGAGTAATCATGAACATCTAACAATGTATTTCTTCACTATAGGTTTCCTTGAGCAGGGTCTTCTGGTGAAGGACCTAACCAAGTTAAGAGAAAGCTATTTTCACACAATGCAATTCAAGCTAGACCTGCTATCCATACTACCCACTGATCTAGCCTACATCGCCATTGGCATTCATGTGCCAGAGCTGCGTTTGAATCGACTGATGCGCTTCTCACATCTATTTGAGTTCTTCGACCGCACTGAGACCCGCACAAGCTACCCCAACATATTCCAAATTTGCAACTTGGTGCTCTATCTCCTAGTCATTATTCACTGGAATGCCTATATCTACTTTGCCATCTCTAAGTCTCTGGGATTTGGATCCGACCAGTGGGTCTACCCAAACATATCTGATCCTGAGTTTGGGACACTCACTCGAGGATACGTCTACAGTTGTTTTTGATTTCCTTGTTGGTGTTCTCATTTTCGGCACCATTGTTGGTAACGTAGGAGACATGATATCAAACATGAATGCCACACGGGCCGAGTTCCAGGCTCAAATCGATGCCATCAAACACTACATGCAGTTCAGAAAGGTCAGCAAAGAGCTACAGGTGGAATTAGAGAAGAACAGGTTGAGGAGAAAGTGGAGAGGTTAGAAGCTTCTCTTGAAATACTACAGACTCGGTTTGCTCGGTTACTGGATGAGTACACAGCTACTCAACAGCGCCTGAAGCAGAGACTTACAGCACTGGAGTGTAGGACACGTCACTCTGGCAGCGGCTTCTTCTCGGATGGCAATGAAAGCACTATTGACGGTGACGGTACACACAGTGAGGTCAACATCCAGCTCTGAGCACTTGTCTCTAAGACATAACCTTATACAGTAGTCTTAATGATCATTCAATAGCAATAATATATGACACTTAACAACAATGATAGAAGTCAAAAGTTACACACAATTTGTTCATATGCATGTGGGATTGTTTCATTTTTATTTATTCAGTAAATGTCATGGAACAGACCTCAATTGAGTGTCTTACAAAACATATAATAACAAGTTTTTGTCCACCACTTAAAGGTGTACTTTTTAGCTTTTTGTGTGATGCTTTGCTGATTAAAAATGATTTACATATAAAAAATGAACAGCACTTTTGGAAATATACCATTAATTTTTGTGATGAGACTCCAGACATATCAGTCTTCAAGAAACAAACAAACAAACAAAAACTTCTAGACTTCTACAAATATTTTATTCTACATTTATGAAGAGGTACCAATCATCTTTCATTAGTACAGTATGTCGCTTTATGTAGGACTGCCAGATTTAAAAATTATTTTATACCAGCTGCCATTCACTTTTAAATTCCAAATAATTTTATGTGTATTGTTAATGGAAGTCTTTGTTTTTGTATGTGTGGTGTGGTGGTGGGTGATTGTAGTCTAGTGATGGTACGTTATTTTTGTCATCATTCAGGTTGTGTATTTCAGCTTTAATGTACGTTTTTTTAAACAAAGCAGCTGATATTTGCCATAGCGACAGCTAGAGGCTAGTGGACTGCAGAATGGAGGAAGTGTAGGGCTGCTGCTGCTGCAATGGAACGTCCTATTGGCTTTCACTTCTTTTCAGTATAAGTTCTTTGTGCAATTATTAATATACTGTAATTTCACACAGTGTAGGATTGTGGGATATCAAAAGCAGTGAAGTATACATCCATGCTGGCTTAAAAAAATCGATCAGATGAAGGTGTCTCAGTAGAATGGATGTGACACGATCACTGGACTCTCATTGGACCTCTGTATGCTGTCTGTGGAGGCAGCATTCTTCTGCTTGATGAAGCCTAACATCTTCCTTTAAACACTCTTAAAAATAAAGGTTCCAAAAGGTTTGTGAAGAACATTTTTCCACTATAAAAATCCTTCTGTGCAATGGAAAGGTTTAATGGACTTGAAAGATTCTTTATGGAACCATGAATGCCAACAAACAACCTTTATTTTTAAGAGTGCACTACGTGAGCCTGACCACCAGAGGGAGTTTATAACACAAGCCTTTGCCTGAGGTTCTGTAGCCAACTCTGCTCAGAGTTCAACTCCTGTAATTAAACAATTATAGTAATCTACCCTAGACATTCAGGTTTACTGGAACATTACAGGCAGGTGTGTTGGAGCAGGGCTTTTGATCTGATTCTGTATGGATCCTCTAATCAGTTGTCACTCCCCTACGCTACAATCACATTCATATGAAAGTGACGTGACATGTGGCCAAGTATGGTGACCCATACTTGGAATTAGTGCTCTGCATTTATCCCATCCAAAGTGCACACACACAGCAGTGAACACACACACACCGTGAACACACACCCGGAGCAGTGGGCAGCCATTTTTGCTGCGGCGCCGTTGGGGGTTCGGTGCATTGCTCAAGGGCACCTCAGTCGTGGTATTGAAGGAGGAAGAGAGCGCTGTACATTCACTCCCCCCACAGACTCGAACCCGCAACCTTTGGGTTATGAGTTAGACTCTCTAACCATTAGGCCACGACTTCCCCAAATATTTGAGTGTAACACCAATCACAATCAATCAAATCCAAAAATCAATCAAAATCCAGTCAATAACGGATGAATAGACCTGCCCTACATTTTTTATTTTTCGATAATACAATACAAAACAAAACAATAAGAAATCCATAAGAAATGTGAAAAATGTTTTAGAGTAGCTTGAACGACAGTTTGAGTAGATTTTTTATCGATGAATGAGAACCCTTTTCCTTTGATTACAGTGTTGTTATTGAAACATAAAATGCAAAACAATGAAAACAACAAATTATTGTACCTTAATTTATCTAAAAGCAGAATGAGATTTAACTGTGATTTTCTGTAGTTACAATCAGTTTAACTGGTAGGATCCTCAGAGGGGAAGTTGTGCAGCGATTATATAAGAATGGAAAGACAGTCTCTGTGAAGGTTGTTGTGAATGAGCAGAGACAGATGTTAGTTAGAGGATCAGAGAAGGACACCTTTCCTCTGTCACAGTCCAGCTGAACTCTCACACGCTGCAGCTTCTCTTTAACTGTGAAGAGAGTGAAGGGTTGATCTGGGGATTTTGAGCTGTATTTACTGTCTATGTACTGCACAAGCCAGACATTAGACTTAAAGAAAACCTCTCCCTTCCTTTGGTTTGATGCTGTGGTTATTCCAACATTCCAGTATGTATTGTCTCCAACCTCCACATCCCAGCAGTGTGTTCCTGAGTTAAAGCCCTCAGAACCCAGAACACATAGATACTTGTCAAACCTCTCTGGATTATCAGGAAGATTTTGACATAAATCACTGAACGACACACTGGTCAAATCAGTAGAGAGTGTGAGCCGAGGATGTGCTGTGTTTGGATCTAGAGTCAATGGATCTGCAAAGAGAATACAATCAGATTAGATGATGAAATATGATGCTATTAGAAATGTAAACCTAATACATAAACAAACACCATGAGGAATTTATTGTGTTTTGTAGTCATTATGAGTTCGCAGCATGATCCGATGATCTTATGAAATACAATTTAGATTCACTTGAACTCCATAGAATTTCAAGTGATTATTACATTTATTTATTTTTATCATGCATGCGTCACAGTGTCTAGTGGTGGTGCCCAAGACTGGCCACTGGATGGCACTCTCCCCTTCCACTGTTCCATGTCATGAACTCCATTTCCCATAGTTCTTTGCCCGGTCTTTTCGTTACTGATTATCATCAGCTGTTGGTCATTTACCCATTAACTCATCACTATATATACCATGCTCACTTTGTCTTTTGTTGCTGCACTATTGAACCTGTTACGTTTTGTTGTTCTGTTTCATTGTTTCCTTGGAGTTTGCTTTGTGGATTACTTTGTGTTTTTGCCCTTGCCTTGTTTTTGGATCTTTGTGTGACAAGGAATAAAGTTGCACTTGGATCTACTATTTTGTCTCTGAGATTCCGTGAAAGAATAGTGCAGCCATTATGGACAAAGATCTGCTCCTGGAAAGACAAATCCGTCTTCAAGGTCTCGAGAAACTTCAACAAAAGGGGATGGAGGTGCGGGCCTTTGCCCTGAAGTTCTGGACAAGGGCGGAGAGGCTGGGTTGTCAGGGTGAGGACATTAAATACATGTTTAGCACCTGTCTGGATGAATCCTTACCGCACTGGGAGATGGAACTGGTGAAGTCACTGGATTTATGGAACTTCTCCAGGTACCTGCAGCTCCGAAAGGTGGGAAAGGTAATTCACCACCACCAGAGTCCACCTGCAGGGACCATTCCATCCCCACCTCCATCTAGTCAAGCCCAGGATTCTTCATTGATTCCCATGCTCAAGCGGAGGTCAAGAAGGAGGGCAGAAAAGACTCCGGTGGTCCTGGAGGACCTGTCTCTGGTGGTCCCAAGTCCGGTGGTCCTGGAGGACCTGTCTCTGGTGGTCCCAAGTCCGGTGGTCCTGGAGGACCTGTCTCTGGTGGTCCCGAGTCCGGTGGTCTTGGAGGACCCGACTCTGGTGGTCCCCGAAGTTACTGAGCAGCCCACTCTCTTTGTCTCACCCATGATCCTTGCCCTGCCGGCTCCACCCAGGCTCCTTGCATTGCCAGCACCAACCAAACTCCTTGCCTTGCGGGCCCCACTTAAGCTTCCTGCTACATTGGCCCAGGAGCCTGCCACAGAGCCTGCTCCAGTCCGGGAGTCCTCGGAGACCACTCCAGAGCCCGCTCCAGTCCGGGAGCCCTCACAGTCCACTACAGAGCCCGCTGCCGGCTAGGAGGTTGTCCCGGCTCCGCCCAAGCTCCTAGCCCTGCCGGCACCACCCTGGCACCCTTGTCTAACTCGGTCTCTAGTCCCTCTTCCGCTACATGGGCCTGGCCCGCCATCCCTCCCCCTGATCCACCTCCTTTCCACCTCGCTCCTGAACTTTTGTGTTTTCTGGTGGAGCGTCTGGTATCCGCTCCTTAGAGGGGGGGTTAATGTCACAGTGTCTAGTGGTGGTGCCCTAAACTAGCCACTGGATGGCACTCTCCCCTTCCACTGTTTCACGTCATGAACTCCATTTCCCATAGTTCTTTGCCCGGTCTTTTCGTTACTGATTATCATCAGCTGTTGGTCATTTACCCATTAACTCATCCCTATATATACACCATGCTCACTTTGTCTTTTGTTGCTGCACTATTTAACCGGTTACGTTTTGTTTTTCTGTTTCATTGTTTTCTTGGAGTTTGCTTTGTGGACTACCTTGTGTTTTTGCCCTTGCCTTGTTTTTGGATCTTTGTGTGACAAGGAATAAAGCTGCACTTGGATATACTATTTTGTCTCTGAGATTCCGTGACAGAATGTTAATTAGTCTGTCTTTGTTTATATCTGCAGTATTTAATCTTTTGCACTGGTGTCAGATTTTCTAGAGACTCACTGTGTTGGAGAATTTCCTGCATCTTCGTCCAGACTCTGAACTGCAGGTTACTCAAGTAATGTGATGCATGAATCAAAGCTCCAGAACTCATCTGTGGATCCGATTGTGAGATCTGGAAGAACATTCAGAAGTCAGAACTGCAGTGGATTTGAGTTCAGATCCACTGAGAGAAGAAACACTAGGGTTGGGTATCGTTTGAATTTTATGAATTCCGATTCTGCTTATCGATTCCAATTCTTTGAGTCCCAGTTTCGATTCCAATGTGATGAAATTACATCAAACATTTATCCTGTGTCTCTTTGTTTGCAAACCATTTAGTGGAGCTGAATACCATGAACAAAAATTAACAGGCTACATAAAAACTGGACTCGTTAAGAGCCGTTTTTGTGCAAAATAGAACTGCATCATTCTGGATAAATCTGTGTTTTGTTTTTTTCCCCCAATGGAAGTTGTGGTTCTCTCAAGATTCTGAAGAAAAAAATTAGACAACTAAACAAAATCACATGTAATTTATGAATGAATGATTAAATGATTCACTCAAGATGTACTTGTTTCATTACTGGATGTATCAGCATTCTTGAAAATTAAATCATATATAATAATTTTTACTAAAATGTTAAATTATAATAATTAATAAATAATTAACAACAGATTTTTGATTCTAGAGCAGTCCAGGACCCTCCTTCAGTGCAACCTTTTTTTAATGCAACCTTGGCTTTTAAAAACAAAAAGAGAAAAAAAACAATAGCATGGTATTCAGAGATACAAATCTATTATGGTATTATCATTGGCTTTTAGGCTTTTTTTTAATCAAAAGAAAGTGGGAAAAGGTAGAAAAAGTGGGAGAAATAGGAGGGAGGAAAGTATAATTACAAGACTAAGAATGGGACATACAGGTTTGAATAAAACATTACATTTAATATCTAAACATCCAACGGGATTGTGTGAGAAATGTGGACAGAGTGAAACTGTAGAACATGTGATTATTAATTGTAACGGTTATGATGAAGAAAGAGAAGTAGTATGGAAGAATGAAGGAAACGAGTTAACATACCTGGACTCTTGATGGCTTCAGAGTTGAGACAGAACAACTAATATAATAAAAGAAAATCCTGATTGCATAATAGCAAAGTAGGTGGTGATATGCGCAAAGATTGCAACTTGCCATAAAACCAAGAAGAAGAAGAAGAAGAAGACAGCTGACGCAGAGGTCCTGTGAAGTACCTTACGTAAGTTTTACTTGTGTGTGTTTTTTTCCCCATATATTGAGTGTTTTGTTTCACATTATTTATAGTATTCAGTCTGCATGACTTAAGTTTTATAGTAATAACACGAGCGATGTGATTGTGCAGAAGAGGGCATTCAGTGAACTTAATGCGAGGAGCTGTCAGCTAGCTGAAGTTAAACCATAGCGGTTGTTTTATGATATTCATCAGTTTTAAAGAACCAACAATGCAAAATATTAATTTCTAAAGAAGCATATAAGCTGCTCTACTATGGGATTAGATCTCTGCCACAATTCTGCGTGTGAAAGATTATATTTTGAGCGCGCACAAACTGAGTTTTGTGGAGAAAATGTTTGTTTCGCAAAGAAGAAAGTATTTTGAGCACACGAAAATCAATTTTGCATTTAAAATAAGTTTTTGGATTTGTGCAGACCTTCTCTTTTGTGCGTGTAACGTTTCATTAGCTAGCTCACCTGAAGCCCACTCTCAGTGCTCTCTAAATGCCAACAGCTCGCTTGCTCAACACAACCCAGCATTACAATAGGCCATAATTCCAGCCAATCAGAGACGAGGCTGATAAATTCAGATTGGCTGCCTTGACAACCAATCACAACATTCCTTGCATTACCACGACAGCTATGGCATCAAAAGTGGGACAAAACAGCGCAAGCACATGAACACAGCGCGCAAGCGAATTACAGTAATGTGCACACAGTTACAAAGCTCGCACGTAAAATGTAAACCTAAAGAAATGCCAAATTCCAAACTCGAGCACAAAAAATATGATTGTGTACACACATCAGCACGCTGCAAGGACAAATAACAAAACTGCGAGCAGAACCCGCACGTGCGCACAGATCTAAACACAGGTGCAAGTAATTTCTGCATGCGCGCACAGATCTAAACACACGCGCAGATCTAAACACGTGTGAGCTGAACCCTTCACGCACAGGAAGTTTTGACAGTCAGGGGGCGGGGCCTAACGTATGCTTGTTGTGTTAACAAATGCTATTGGCTGCTGGCCAAATCCTGTATTGATTGGCTGCTCGTCGTCTGACTGGCTGTTGATTGGCTGTTGTTGGCCTTCTCCTGACGAGACAGAAGAGTAATGCCGAGTTCACACTGCACGATTTTAGCCTGATTTTTCACTCGCCGACAGGTTTTGCGAAATCGCAGACAAATGCCCGTTCCATCATGCAGTGTGAACACAGCAACAACTGAATGCTACCCCAGATAGTCGTTCAGTGTGAAACCAACAGTGATGCGACGTCTTTGAAAATCGTGCAGTGTGAACTCGGCATAAAGAGGTAAGTTTTCTTTCTAAATTCCATTAAAGATATAGCTTTTAACACGATCGTTAACAAATCGAAATGTGTTATATATTTCCTTAGTTGGTTCATTCTAAATGTGTCTTTTTTTGTCCCTCATTAACGTGTAAAACAATGATAATGATAAGCTGATGCCAACATCTACGATGTGTTATTATAGGTAATGTAGCTAGTAGGGATGCTCCGATCAGGATTTTTGCAGCCGATACTGAGTACCGATTTCTTGTCATGGTGACCGGCCGATACCGATTCTGATGCTTCAAGCTTTATATAGACGGTTTCAATGGGCGCACGCGCCTGGCCCGAAGTTAACTTCCGGTCTGTGTTTGTTTATCAGTCTGG